CAGGGAATTCTGGGAATGTCAATTTACGGTTATTCACTGTAAATTATACAGTCTTTTTCACTTCCAAAAACGGTATACTACCGTAAAATTAATGTCCAATACATGTAATGTCCAATACAGTTTTTCACTGTATATAGTAGGGGAATTTACCGTTAACCATTTAACAGGATTTTACTGTAGTATTTTTACAGTCTTTTACCGTTAAATTCACGGTCATTTTTTACAGTGTAGGCCTTTTCTGTACATAGAAAAAGTCTTAGATCTTTGAGTTCAGCTCATGAAAAATGGGGGAAAAAACAAAAGTGTTGCATTTATAATTTTGTTCAGTGTATATTACACTTATTGCGTTGGATAATTACATTTGTACTTTTCTACGGCAGCTTTAGGTGGGAATATCAGGGTCACGGTGAACAAAACTTACCTGCGAGTTAAACCTCAGCTGGCACACGCCGCATGAGACAGCTTTTCTTTTAGAGGAGGCCGGAGCGCTGAACGTGTGATGCAAAACAGCTTTCTGAACGGGGTCCATCTGAGGAGAGGAGAGAGAACGGAAAAGCAGTTTCATTAGCCTCATTCACCCCAGCGGCGCACTGAATGTCAACTCTGTTATACATCGGACGGTGTGATAAAAACGTCGCCTCCGGCGGCTTCAACAGAAACACGACTTGTGGTTGTGGAGCGAAGTCTGGAACACGTTAAAGGCCAACGATTTTCACACACACGCTCTTCAATCAATGCAGAGGGGAAAGAGGAAGGGGAAACAAACTCCACCGAGGATTTCATGAGAACCCAAATCAAAATGACACACTCAGAAAGGTCTGCTGAAATTACAACAGCTCGCATTATGCATCTCGTATGAGTGACAGATTAGCACTGGATTCTACTTTCTTTGAAAACACTAAAAGAGAAGATTAAAGTAGATTTAAATGCACTAGTTTATATGACAATGTTTAGTTAAATATGCATATTCAGAGTTATACTATACAAAAAAAAAGGTACTTTAAATAAAAATTTAAATATTGACAGAAACTTATGTACGGGCAGGACATCTTTACCTGCTTTACATACAGTGTATTGGCATATTAGATGATTGTATGTAGGGCTGATGCAAAGAAAATGATTCCCGAAATGAATCAGCGCTCTAATAAACTGGTTATTTGTAGTGAATCAAAAACATACAGTGCAACTAATGTAGTCTGATTCACAAAACTGATGACTCATGAATCATTGTTTTCATTTTAGTGAATCAAACATGCACAGTGCAAACAATGCAGTCCGATTCATGAAACGATTGACTCTTGAACAAATTATTTTAGTGAATCAAACACATACAGTACAGTATAGAAAGACCAATGTAGTTTGATTCCTGAAACAAATGACTGTAATGAGCTGAGATATATATGTGTGTGTGTGTATATATATATATATATATATATATATATATATACACACCAGCGTTAATTTTTCATTTATTTGGGTGCTCTCTTTAAAAATAAATCATTAAAATGTTACTAAAATAGTATTCTTTTATTTACTTAAAAAAATAATAAAAATCACTAATACTTCCTCAAAAGGCCTAGAATCACTAGGAACCTGCATTTAAAGTTCAACCCCTACAAATCCCATCCCTTGTAACGCCTCTTTTTTAAAAACACTTTAATTATAAATAAATCATTAAAATGTTACTAAAAGAGTATTGTGGTTTTTTTTTAGTATCTACTTTACCACTAGTAAAACTAATACTTCCTCAACAGGACTAAAAGAATCACCTTACAAATCCCAACCATTGTCCCTTATTTTGGTCTTTAATTATAAATAAATTATTAAAATGTTACCAAAATAGTAACATTTTTCTTTAGTATTTAAAAAAATAATAAAGACAAAGAAATATTACAGAATCTTATGAATCCCATTCCTAGTATCTCCTCTGTTGTTTATTCATGGATTTATTTCACAGTCAGTCTAATGTCAAACTGAGGCACAGTTAAACAGGATATGACATCGTTGGGGTGGTCTTCGGTGTGCTGAGAGCATCTCGGTCTTAGATGAGCTTGTGAAATTACACTGATGCTCTCAGCTACTGCCTGCTGCATTCATTTGTCCATCTATCAGATAAGCGTCCGCCTCCTGCCTCCGTCTCCTCAGACTGATATACGGGCGCTCTCTCCTCTGTCTGATCTGTGATGGTTCAACAACTTGAACCTGCTGCAGACAGATGTCAGCCCAGCCGCCGGTGTTACACAAGCAGAAAATCACTTTCGATTCACAATCGTCTTCTGCGGCCAGCTGTAGATGAGGCTCCTAAATCAATTCCACTTCAAGCCCCGACAAGTGACACGCAGTTTAGAAACCTGATACGTTTTTCTTTAATAGACGACATCAGGCCAATCAGTCGCAGTAAGTTATGGTCTGATGTCAATTTAGTATGAATGCATGCCATATTGGTACCACATGTAAGTGTTTGAAATGAGTGTGAAAAATTGCTGGACACCGTATCTGAAAATGTTACATAGTATAATTGCGGCATAACTCTCACGCACGGCTAAAAAGAGGACGAGATGGCACTTAAAAACAGCAGGATGGGTGCAAGCTTTGGAGAACATCCAGCTGGCCTGTGAAGGGCTGCTGGGAAATCGAAGGACTCAGAGGACGACGTGCAAACAACGCAGGAAGTGAGCGAGAAAAAGAGCAGAGAGAAAAGAAAAAGAGACAAACCATCTGTGCGCGGCGATGACCTCGCGCTCCAAACACACCGGGGTTGAGCGAGGAAATGCTGCTTCTCATTCAAAGCGTTTACATGCACAATAAAAACCTGATAACCATCAAAAACAACTCATTAGAAAAGCTCAACACCACAAGAACAACTGTAAAACCCTTGCTTGCATGATATTTAGAAATCGCCAGGGTTTTCTAGGATTTTGGCGTCAAAGCAAAAACATGCACACAATGAATAACAGGGTTTCTGCAGGTTTTATGAAGGTCAAATCTAAGACTTTTTAAGACCTTTTTAGGACCAAATAAAGAAATTAAAGAATAAATTAAATGTAACACGAGATACGGTCTCTAAATCTAAATGTCTTGCATTAGCAATGCTTCAAAGTTTAAAAATATAACTACAATAGATCTTTTCAATACATTTTCCAAACAAAATAAAAAATAAAAAACAAAAACAAAACTTATGGCCTGAATAGCTCTGCTCCCACTAGAATCCCTTTTACTGTACCTTCTTTTTTTTTTTTGAACAACAATTTTTATTTGTCAAACACTGTAACAGGTAAAAACAACAGTTCCTCTTGTACTGTACCTTCTGATCACACTGCCTGATTTAAGAATATTTAGATTTTTGTATCTGAAAGCAAGACAAAAATATTGAGAAAGATATATATATGAATGAATGAATGATGCATTTATATAGCGCTTTATTGTGTATTGTTGTACACCCAAAGCGCTTTACAATCATGTGGGGGGGTCTCTGCTCAACCACCACCAGTGTGCAGCATCCACTTGGATGATATATAACTTTTGAGCGGTAGAATATATATATATATATATTGGCAGTGTATGCAACATTTAATGCCATAACTTCATGAACTGAAGACTTTCTTCAGTTCATGAAGATTCAGGACCTTTTTAAGAGCTGCAGAAACCCTGAAATAAGCAGCTCAAACATCAGTAAGCAAGAAAACCAATGTGTACCAGTCGTCATTTTATTCTTAAAATCTGGTTAAATGGACATTAAAATGATATTAAATTTTGATTAAAGACTTTTTAAAAATAAAACATATGCACGGATGAGTCGCTCACAAAGTGATCAATTACATGCATTTTGAAAATAGATATAAGGTGAAGTTCCATTTCATGCCAACTAAATGTAAATAGGGTGAATTTTGACTTTAAATGTGCAAAACACAAATGGTATCATCAGAGGTCAGTCATAATCACTGAATCTGTCTCAAATTAAAGTGCTAAATCTGGCACACATTCAGTTGATGGTTCAATTTCAGTATATTGTTTCCATACGGCGACCTTTTAAGACAAACTACTGATTCAATGGGCATAATAGCTTTACTTCTACGACTTCAAGATGTCTTGAGCAAAAATCACTTGTTGTTTTTCTAAACTGCTTTAAGGGCAACTTCACAAATGGTCTCTGACACATTAAGTGCCCTACAGCATTCTGGTGTATCTAATTCATGTTAAAATGCCCAAATCTGGTTTGTTCCTGAAAAAAGTGGAACCTCAAAATCTCCAGGATGTCAAGATATTCAAAGTCGTCTTAAATCAGCCTCCCGCTGCCCACTGACAGACGCGAGACATTTCCTGACGTGCCGCATCTTAACGCACCGCAAACATGTCAGTGTGCGAGCGTGAACCTCCTGCGGTGCACTTCCTCTTCCCCCTTATGAGACTGTCTCCTCTCATTCATGCAAACACTGTGATTAACACACATTTGAACACCGTCTTGCCACGACTGCAGCGGTTCACATCACTGTGACGGGAACCAATGACTGAGCATTTCATGAGACATTTATGGAGTATCAATCATAAATAAGAAATAAAAAAGTAAATATCTACTTTATGCATCCTCGTATTGTTTCAAACCTGTATTTCTTCTGTGGAACAAAACAGATCAGCACAACTTGCAAAGTGTTTATTCTGTAGAAACAAAGCGCGAGAGAAAACATAGACCGAGTTTTAATGACCGAATCCAGCCGCAGCCAACACCAGCCACGCTTACCATTAACTAAAGTGGGATAAATGGCCTGTCAGAAGCAATACCAGCTCTAATGTTTTTCCCAATTACACGCCCACGTGTGTGAATCCCAGTCCCTGCATCTATTGATTTTAACCGACGAAATTTACAATTCAGATCAGGATGAGGAGGCCAGGCCAGGATGATGAACAAGTACAATCTCCTCCATGTTGTTAAACATGTGTAACATTATCCTGCAGTCGGCTGCGGCGTGGAAGTTTGGCGGTGTGAGCTGGAATCATCTACCCGTGAGACCCAGATAACATCCAAACAAATCTGAGGGAAACATATTAAATATCGAACTGCTTATCTGACTTATTGCACACATAATGATGAGTTATGGCGTGTGCCAGAGGGCTGTAGCAAAAGAGAATTGAAATTAAATGAGATATAAAAATATAAATCACAGCTCTCAAAGGGGAACATTAGGAGAAGCATTAGAGAATGAAACAACAGACGTCACAGTTCCTTATTCTTAGTACTTCATAGTACACAGAATAACCTTTCATTTTGAAAGAAACATCCAAAGTGAGATATCTTGCATGCACATTAAAATGGTTTCTCCTCAATAGATTATATAAGATCAAATGGAGAGCAAATATCTTCTGATTAAACAACGTCTCAGAGTTGCCAAGACATCAACGTCTGCCATTAATAGTCAGTTCTCAACAGAACTCAAACGTTTCTCATCAAAATCTCCTAACATCAAATGATCTGAACTGCTAAACATATTTATATATTCCTACCATATGTCAATCATTGCCTTATTGGTTTTT